TTGTTTACCAGCTTTCAATATTGCCCTTGCCTGTTGGTTTTCTGCTGTATTGTTTCTTGCATACTTTTTATGCAAGTTATGCAAGACATATCCACCAACATACTGAAGACCAGCTTCTTGTTTTTCTGACAATACAGTTTGGGATGAAGGTGGGTTACTGTCAGAAGAAGACTTAATGCCCTTGCAGTAGGACAGGATAAAATCAGCTACCTTGCTTGCAAGCAGTGTTGCAGCATTACGAGATAGTCCTTTGAAAAACATTGGAGACTTCAATGGTACTTGAGCATAATAGTTGCCATAGAATTTCTCGGCATTCCCATTTTTTGAATAGCCTTCAAATAATGCCTTCATTACAGAGAATTCTTGAGTTCCTTCTTCAAGCACTTGATACTCGTACTGTTTTAACTCCTTCCTTAGATCTTCTGCAAAAACTTCCCTTTCATAAATGTTCTTTAATGCATTGCGTACAATCTCAGCTAGAATACTAGCAGTCAAAGTCAAACGATGCTCGTTCCGATTTGGATTGTGCTTGGCAGCTCGATGCCTTTGATATCCTCCTCTTGTTTTGTATTTTTTCCCACACTCGCTGCAAACAATCTCGGTTGATTGGACCTACCAAAAAATATTAAATCATAGTTTCAGCATATTAGAGTCTGTCTCTATGAAATATGATCAAATGTTAACATACTTGCCGTCTTCCGAAGGCACTTGCGACAATGTTCAGTTTGTTGTCAGGTTGCATTCTCTGTAAACTATTTTTAACAAAGCAAAACCCAGGCAATATTCAGGCAATTTTTAGTATCTAGGGCACTTCTACCAGAGAAACTAAATACAATTTTATAATTTTTCTAGAATATAGCTAGGAAATTGTTATCTGAAAACGTCGGGAAATTCTCTGTTCTCTAGTAGTTAGTCGCGTGAAAGTACATTTGCGTGTGGCTCCGTAAACCCTCTTCAAAATAGACTAAGTAAGAGTAAGCTTCTAAATATTCTGCACTTACTTCACTTGCAGCAGTTGAAAACTGTTCCTGTAGTACTTCATCTTCATCAAAGATGTCTAAAATTGCCTCAAAATTATCGCCAAACAAAATTAGATCCTCTCCACCATCCGCCATCTTTGAACTTGTGTTTAGTTTTTGCACCGTCGCAGTCACGTGACAGGTACTTTCAACATCAGCGACTGCTCTTAGTCTCGCTCTTTGATGCTCGCCGACTTTCATAACCAGTCCCCTCTACTAACTATGCCAGAAACACATGCAAACATGGCGTTTCCAAAAAAGGCTTAAGGATAATTAGAACATTTATTCGAATATCTCCTGCACGAAACATCGCATGGACCAGAATCTTGTGAGACTCTTCAAATATTCATCTTCTTTTATCTCTTTGATTCTTGACCTTGTGTTTGAAGGTGTCTTCGAGCAGTACTCTTTCAGCCTTGTTGGATTCTTATTTTGCTGGAAGTTTAAATCTTTTCATTTGTCATGCAATACTTTTGGGCCGTTACGCAACGCTTTCACTGGCGAAACTGTGGAATACCATGGCTTTGAAGTAGATAGATAGCCTGTTTATTTCTATGAATTGTGTTTTACTTATTACGCATTACTTTGGACTTGTGTTTGTGGAGCTTTTCATCTTCGGAAAAAAATCAGAATGCTGAAAAACTTTTACTAAGTACTTCTTTAATTTGTTATTCTCAGGGATTAAAAGCATTTTATCTCCATTGTTTCTTTAATGTCCCTTCATTTTAAGGGAAAAGCCAATAGGCAGAGACAACTAAACAGCAGCAATAGAGAGTTTGCTCACTCCTGAATTTTTGCTGAACAGTACATAGCTGTCCTGTGAGAATCAAATTAAAGTGTTTTTGGTTTTCTTAGTTTCACAGTAAAAAGCAATTAAGCTGTCAGGATTGTCCTCTTGTGGTTTGTATGGTTAAATTGCCATATTTGCTGCAAATCTGTAGTTCTCCACTTGCTCTACCCCTAGATTGGCCAGGTGGCCTGCCTTGTACAAATTATATGTATTTGAATGTGCTTCCCAAAATCTGATCAGAAGAAATAAATCTGAACCAAGATTAAATTAATTTTCTTATATGGTAATCATGTTTCTAAACATTTAGTGAAGCAGGACAATTCAAATCTTACTACTGAGTGATTGATTTGTTTATTTATTTAAACACTTGTTTGTCTATTGCTTATTGGGGTTACCAGTAATGGATGGATGTTGCAGAAAAAAACTTTACAAGGAACACTGTCAAGATCTACTTTATAAACAAGTCACAGTTTTATTTTGCTTCTAGTCAAAATGTTTTTTGTATGACTTGCTCTTCTGACCCTTTGTCAAGCATCAATTGTAAAGCACCTGGCTTAACATTTTTCAGCTCACTGACCTCTTTTCTTAATATCCTCTCTTGATATGGTTATCAATTACAGAGTGCATTAAGATGATGAATTGAGAAAACAAAAAGAGAGTCTGATGACACATGTTGCACATTCATTTTTGTGTGGCTTACACAAATTGTGTAGCCAGATTATGGCATGGTCTGATTTATTTATTTGTCCATGAGAGTCAAGCACCTGTCACGTGGTCTAATGTAGTACAGTGCCATCGTGGTTATAATTGTTAGTCTCGAGTAATTTTCTTCTTGTGATCTTATCACGAGTTAGTGCTCCTCACACAAACCAACACACCCGACCCGGCTAGTGTTAGAAAAACAAGAGCTTTTACACTCTTAAAAGATAACATTTAACTGCTGGAATCTTCGGTACGGGTTGTACTACATTGAATAGACTCAGGATCTATTAGTGTAGGTTGCACCACTGAGTGTGTGAAAGCATTTGAAAGTGTTTGAAAGTGTCTGAAGCCTCCTGAAAGTGCCATAAAGTGAAATAAGTTGCATATTAGTTGCATTCTCCTTGCACTGTTGAGAATTCATGGAAGCATATTTGAGAATGACAAAAGTAAGTATGGGAATCTCGATTGAACAATACCAGTCAAGGATTGGCACTCATGACAATTTCATGAAAACAAAGGATAGTATCACACTTTAAAGATCATTTTTGGACTTGAATCCTTATGATCTATTTAAATGTATTTTACTTGCTAATATTGAAACAAGTTGTTGGACAACACAAAATGTGGAGTGTTGTGATGTTTTGGTTTTTATAAAATGATTTTTTACAAAGCCTATACTCCATAGCTTAAAGGACCCAAGTAGTTTAATGTTACAACTGAAATGTGATTAGTACTGTGTTTTCCAAGTAGTGCCAAGAATTATTCAGACCTTAACATTTCATGACTTCCTGTAGGCTTGGCAGTCTTCTAAATTCTCTTCATAATTGTTCAGATAAGCATTGATATTTAAACTTGGTAGCAATACATGTGTATTAGGCCTTCATTTGGTAGACTACAACTTCTCAGTTACTTGTTTGGTTGTGGTTAATTCATCACATTATTGATATACATGAAAATTACACTCTTGATTGGCTGAAAACAGCTAGGTGCCTTTTTCATGAATCACTAGTGCAAAACTCAAGTACTAAATGAATGTAAACTAGGCTCAGCAACAATAGATTACACTAGAAACCAATCAGATTTACACGAAGTTGGTTGTGCTCAGACTGATACACACGGTAGCTGACCAAATTAAACAAAAGCTTGGATATTTTTATTAATTAAAAACTGGATCATTGGATAATGCAATTCAAGACTTTCTATTGGCTGAGCCATTATGGTATATGAGCCATTATACCATAATCTAATATCTGTACATTGTAACATCCGGTTTCTTGTTACAAAATAAAGTCGAGAAGATATGTCGCACTTGTTGGATATGGGATGATTATAACGCGCCTTGTTGGCTATCTATCATCTCATATCCAACACGCGCTTGTGAAATAATTGTAAAGTATACTGATAACCACCAACAAAATACATTCCTGAGCAAGATTTTAGCAGAAGGACAAATTTTGATAGCATATTAAGTTGACCATTTATGTGATGATGTTAAGTTCACCTATTCATTTCAGGTCTCCACATAGCTGAAATTTGGGAATTATTTTAACACACAGGCATGAAATTACAATTTCAATAATAAGAAAACTTGAAAAAATTTGGTACTTTAAATCATATGATACTGTCATTCACTTGCCTGTACATTGAACTCTGTTAGGTTTAAGTTAGGTCTCTGATTACTGTTCATGAAAGCTATATGTTGACACTTTATGTCTATTGGACCTTTGTGAAGTAAAACCTCTAGGTCAAACTGTAAATCTTATTGGGTTAAAAATTATTAGCAATGTTAAAGTAATGTTACTTCAGAGTACTACAAAACAAATGATTCACTAAAATATTGCTTGTTTTCTGATCTTGTTATGCACTTATCTTTTTTCCCTGAATTCTTCCATTTTCAACCCCATAACCACCCACATCAACTGAATTTTTCTGTGTTCTATATTGAAAATACAGTCAATCCCAAATACAATAGTTATAGTAAATTTAAATAGAAAGCTATGTTCAGGATTGTGTTACTTAACAGGTATGTATTGTCCAAAATTAGTCATACATTTGAACCAAATCAAGCTCCCCATTGCTTTGTAGATTACATCATTTCCCAAATGTCCCGGCCCTTCTGCAAAGTTTTGTCCTCGTGTTCTGGTACAAAAAATGCCAAAAATATTCATATGAAATGCTTCCCAAGAGTTAATTTCACCTCACTTGCCTTGGAAAAAACAATTGACCTACAAACTTCAGAACTCAGTTCTGCTTTATTACGTAAACAAAATCATGACTGAATCTATCAGGCCACTATGGGAGGTGATGGTGGTGTTCTTTTAAGTTCCTAAAATCCTCAAGTTACATGTGCAATCTTTGTTGTCAAAATGAGACCTCCATAACAAAGCTTGGCCATCAACCCTCAACTTAAAAATGAACATTTCAGGACTATTGTACGTTAGTTACAATATACTAGCAAGACAGTTGCAGCATCTTATAGTCAAGGTTATGAGTTGATATTTAAACAAAATGCAGGACAACAATGTGTTCCAATGAGTTTGTGTTCTTTGATTTACATAACAAACAAGGATTTAATTCTACTAAAATGATCTTGTTGCAATTAGGAGTATTGGGAATCAGTTGTATTCAAGTTTGTCTCAACTAGCTAGACAGTCCTACTTAATGCTATCAGAATTACCAACAATGCTGAATGTGTTTGATGCTAACTATTAACTGCACTACAGTGAAAGCTACACTGGTACTGTGCATCAAGAAACTACAATACAGGGTTATCAATATTGTTCTTCTTTGCAAAAAAACTAATATCGCTAATATCTGAAGACTACAAAAACATCATATTAACAGTTGGGTGCATTGCTTTTGCTATTTATTGTAAAGGTGACATGGGATTTAAAATATTTGATTTTCATGCAAGAGATGTATGTGGTAGAGGACATTCTGAAGGTACTTCGCTTTCAGTTGAAAGATCTTGCGTCAACTGATGACAAAACAAAAAAAAAATTCACCTTTAAGGCCTAGCTAAACTAGGAAACTTTGTTGCGGAAACATTGTTTCCTGTTATGTTTCCTGGGGTGGCTAAATTAGTGGGAAACAAACAAAATGTTCCGCTGCCCCAGTGGTTAAACGAGGAAACATTGTTTCGGAAAACAAATGAGCTACGCATGCGTGAATGAATAAATTGACTTCGAGGAATAAAGGCTGAAAGTTTCTAAAGAAACTGTGGTGCTGCGTCGGTGGGCGTAACATGGTAATTTGGTTATATCAACTAAGTTGAAATTGTAAATTGGCCACCGTGACGAATATTCGTTACACCGTACAACGTATCAGAACATGAAGACCCCGAACCACCTGAAAAGATTTTGAACTATTTACATTTATTGTTTCTTTTAGACTTTACATATTTATTGTAGATTATTAGCAGTATTAATTAGTTATTCTATATCTCCCAGCGTTAGCCCAGCTATTTGGGAGTATAAGTTCCAAGTTCTATGACTTCGAGGAAGTCTGGGGATCAAAGGCTGTTCACATTTTCATTGTATCAAAGCACTCTGTGGCAATCTGCACATTAATAAGGAACTTCAGCATCTTGTACCACTTCCAAGAGGAGTGATACACA